ATGAGACTGACAGATTCTCGGACAGTTTCATTTCGTCAATGATGAGCCCATGGAAGATGAGCCCATGGAAAGCATCCATGGAAGACGCTTTCTGCTTGAGCATGCTCATCACTTTGGCATTAAAGCCAAATCCCGTCCTGTACGACCTGAGATACTTCTGAAGAGTAACCTTGCTCGGCAAAACAAGAACTTTCTGCCTCCGCATATCCTCGTAAAGCTTTGGCCCTTTCATGCGCATGATGAGGCATTCCAAAATCCACTCCTTCGAGTACCTCATCCCTCTAACACTCTTCCTCTTCGCAGCCTTGAACATGTGTAGAGCTGCCTCTTGCTGCTTTGGGGGGAGTTCTTTAATTCGGCCAAGGAAAGTCTCATCACTTAGCCTGGAGTTTTCTTCTTTCATGGCTCGTACTTGGCCTGCCAGGGTACACAAGCGTGAAGCAATTCGCTTTGTCTTCTGATTGGACATTCGCAGCTTGTGAGACAAGTTATGCGTGACACGTTTTTTCTTCAACTTGGACTTCCGTGCCAGCAGCGACTTTCGCAAATAGCGACAATGAACACAGATGGTTCCTGAAAAACGTAAAACATAAAATAAGCCACTTCCTTACTTCGAACTATTTGTGAGACATAGAAACAAGGGCTAAAAGATAATTGGAGGAAAAATAAACTCCAGAGCTATTACAAAGTGGGTAATAGCTAACAGGTCCTGACTAGTGTTATTTCCCTTTAATGCAGGTTGCTTTAGATACAAAGGATATGCTTAGGTTATGAAAAAAAGTAGCAGGCTATGTTAGCTAGAACAGAAAGTACATTGTTTCTTATTAAAAATATTAACACACACCTTTGACTGTCACCATTCCAAGACAGTTCTTGCTGAACACGCCGTCACTCGCGGGGGTGAGGGTGCGCCTCATCTTCTCGGTCAGGTTCTGAGCAAGGCCGTCATAAGCGTCTTTGCTCATAGCGCTTGAACAAAGCAATGCAGTGTCAACTTCTTGAAATATGTTCGTTGCTTCAAGAAGGGAGGTGATTTTGCCGTACTTCTTTTCTCACGCACCGAGATAACAGCTTGCCACAACATCACTGTTGCTATCTAAGCTGAAACAGATCACTTTCTCGTGGGAGACACTGAAAAGCTGTTAGAAAAATTTTCAGCCAAATTTAGCAGCAGTCTGGCAACAACCACCCCAAAGTCTGGCAACAAACTTATGCAACGCCTAAAGGAACCTTGCCTGCGTGTAGTGGCATACACAAGGAGATCAAGGTCTGGAGTGGTCAGTTTCGTCCACAGCCTTGGAACACTTAAGCAGGTGGCAAGGTCCCTTAAGTCACCTGATTTGAGCGGGTTCGCTTGCATGTTTTCGGCAGGGCTCGTGTTCGGGTCGGAATTCTCTTCGCCGAGCAAGCTCGCTTGGTGCTCATCGCGACGAGAGAGACGAACTTTCTTCGCCGATCCAGACGTAGAAACTAAGCAGCGCTTTCGCTCGGGCCTTGGTTTTTTCACAGATGTGGAAAGGTATGCGGGCAGGTCAGGTAAAAACGTTGGCACTGCATTTGCACTAAGACCAGGCTTTCCTCGAGCGATTCGTACCTCCTTGCCGCCGATGATGTGGACATAATCACGAACGACAAAATGGTCTGCAAAGTGTTTTTCACAAACCGCGGATGTGTCCGTTAGAGGTTTGTCTTTCCTCTTGAGGTTCCGCTCCCAAACCTTTTGTCAGTCTTCGTCCTTTGGTGCCGAAAAGAGCGAAATGTTCCGCCCGTTTTCAACGCGATGGCCGGGGTAGCCTGACCGGCAACCCGGGGCGAAACAGTGCGTATCCGTCTTCTTTTTCTTGTTCATGGTGGTACCGAGAACGTTTTCTTCCAGCACAGAAAAAAGATACAAGAAGAATCGAAAGCCACAGCAGCAAAGCGCCCTGACAGCAGTCAACTCGCCGGTTGAGCCTGCCTGGCTGGCCTCGCGAATCTGACTGCAGCGCTACGCGCGGCGGACAGCTTTTTTTGTCACAGCGCCTCCTATAGACGCCCGCTTCGCTCTTGCCACTACAAAACCTTCTAGTTCACTGTACTCGCGGTGTAAGACTACACTATCACCAACCACTCATGTAGATGTATTCGTGCGCCGCGGACAAAAGAAATGGTCGCGCTGACTGCGCTTTAAACAGCTTTTGTGTATGTGTGTGTGTGTGTGTGTGTGGGGGGGGGGGGGGTTCGGGATGGGAAAGACGGGGAGTGTAATGGTTTATTTATTCTCGTATTTGTACTTCCATGCCATCTGTCGAGCGTGTGCCACGCGACAACAAAGAGAAATGCTGGGTGCGCGCACCAAACACAAAGCCGACTCCCTTTGTGGGTGTGCGCCAGAATAACAAAGATCATCATCAACAACAAAGCAGCATTTCGATGAACACTTTCTCAAAGCAGGGCCACCCTAGCAGGTTGTCCAGAAATGCTCGGTGTTCAGAGATGATTCTTATCAAAGCAGCGATTCCCTGACCGTGCCTAATCGTCGTATTCTGCGGCACAAGGGCTTGCTGTGGTGGCAAAAATAACAGCCGTGACTTCTGCAGCAGAGAGGCTTGTCCGCGTTTGCTCCCTTCGGGTGATCCGGATGACGCAGATACAATGACAAGCGCGACATCATATCATGACTGTTTAGAAACTTTATAAGGAAATTCAAATTAGATTTTCAAATGCAATGGCGCATATATATATATATATATATATGGGAAACAAGTGGGTTCTTAAGGGCTAGTTTTTTCCGTGTTTTACACAATATCAACGAGATCTAACAAACAGACAATAAAGCCAAGGAACAAGAAAAATATAGGGGAAGGTATTAGACGGAATTGTAATGTAAATATGAAGAAAGAAAATTGGGTGAAAAAATAACTTGCCATGGGCAGGATCTAAACCTGCGACCTTCGAATGACGCATTCGATGCTTTACCACTGAGCTACCACAGCAGCTATCCCCCCAGCCACTTTATTAGGTTTATATGTGAATGTAAACGTGGGAGTGTCAGTCAGTGCCACCAGTAGCCATGGTGGCGAGTGTGGCACACTCTTCTGAGCCTGTTTGGCGTCACTGTAGCACGTGAACTTGTTACGAGCGGGCAGCTAACCAATAGTCCCTCGTATACAACCTGAGGCGCCAAGTCTGCCAGTACGAAACCTTCGTAATGAATAAGGGAAAGAAGTGTATACTTAAAGGCTCGTTTTTCTGCATTTTGACACAATATAATGAAATCTAACAGACAATAATGCCAAGGAAAGTATAGAGGAAGCTATTAGACCGATATATATACATATAAAAAGAAAAGGGTTGACGATGAGACAGCACGCAGCCTCATCCACTTAGCCCTGTTGCCGGAAGATTTTACCTGCTCCTGAAGATACACAAGTAAGGAAATCCAGGCCGTCTCATTGTTTCTGGCATTCGAACAGTAACAGAAAACATATCTCGTTACGCTGAGAGTTTGATGAAATTTCTTCCGCCCACATTCGCTTCCTTTGTTAAGAATATCAACGATTTTCTCAATGGAATATCACACCTAACAGTGCCTGATGGTTCGCTTCTGGTGACGATGGATGTCACCTCCCTCTACACTAACATCCCCCACAAGGACGGTATACATACTGTTTGTTCTAGATTCATATGACCACTCCGAATCTGACAAGCTAATTGGCAGGTCAACTCTCGAAACACTGCTCAAGCTGATTCTTGAGTTCAAGAACTTTGAATTCAATGCTTCTCATTACGTACAAATCAGGGAGCATCGAATTAGGATTCCGCACGAGCCATGATCGTGAACGACGCGAATCATATCTCATTCATAAATTTAACACTTTGTTGGAAAAATGGTGAGGATGGTCAATGCATGAAGAAAAATAACTTTAGAAGGTGTACAATTCATGCTGGAAAAGACCCACGTCATAGAATGAAATATTATGGCTCTTAATTCATCTGCACTTGTGTGCATGCAAAACATATAATATTCACAATGGCATGTTAAGCCACCCCATACACCTTCTTGCCTGTTTTCTCTCAAATTGTCTTGGTTTCCATACCAACCATGAAACCACTCCATGGGATAAATTTGTCTCTGCTGCCAATTTCATCACCAGTCAGTAATGCGCCATAATTGCCAATAAAGTGACACAAAAACTAAGGAACACAAACATCACAGCAAGACCCACCAGTGCTGATATGTTTTGTTTCCTTTGTTTTTACAAAAAAAAAGAATATTTTATGGCTTGTTTCTTTGTTGATACAGCATATTGAAAACCAACATCTAATGAAGCCAATAAAGGTATAGGGACATTAATTGTGATATTTTAACTGTGTTGCAGTAATTTTTGTATGAATGTAAAGAAAGTAAAGTGGAAGAAAATACAACTTGCTACCAGCAGGGACTAAACCAGCAACCTTCGATTATTGTCCTCGATCCTTTACCTATTTAGCTATGGTGACGGTTTTCTTTTCATTCATACTATTGTGTGTTTAAGAGTATCGGCCAAGAAAGTTTCTTTTCCACCTTTTTTCGTATTGACCTGTTCGTGTGCCAGTTAAGTGATATATCAGTTACGTGGAGGAAACGATGTGAGCTAATATTGGTGGATCGAATTCGACTTACCATTCTGACTGTCATGAGTTCGCTCACGTAGCTCTGAGCTTTCTGAAAGCACCTTATAGTTATCCAACCACAACCTTTGGGAACTGGTTGAGCACGTGCCAGTACATGTAGCAGCAGTGAAATAGGTACTAGTGCATTTTTGTCTTCAGTATTATAAAAACTAAATTTCATGTTATTTAGGAGGATGCCTATACTTAATGGAACGTTTGTGGATTCACTTTCAATTTCTCTAAAGAAAAGCTTCTCTTATACTAGCCTTTCCTTTTAAGCTACCTGATGTTTTCAGTATGGGAGTACATTACGACAGACGCACTTGATCCAGGGCGCAACGAGTATAATATTTCGTTGCATCCAGGAATTCCACGTGGCCTATGTCTTCATCAAGATGGCGAACTCCCCTCGGCCAGGGTGTATGGGTTCTGGAGCGGTCAACTGACAATGGCAAACCTACAAGGCCTGGCAGTACTTTGCCGACAGCATTGATGACTGCAGGGTCATCTTTGGACAAGATGTGGAGGACTCCATCAAACGTGATGATTCTATCATTTGTGAGACAAAGTTTTCGAAGGTGGTGCCCCTTGAGGGTGGAGAGGCGAGTATGTTTGACATTGCTGCTATTTTGCCTTGGTCACAAAAGGGAGCCAGTTATTAGACGTATCTTCAACTTCATGTTGTAAACATGTAATGTGACTTTCTCTTCATGTAGTTTCAAGCAGAGTTATTCAATTATATGAGTCACAAAACCCTGCACAGGCTTCATGTATTGAAATCCAGACACGTAATTGACACAGATGTCGGGAGTGAGCAGATTGTCGTGCCACCTTTTGATCAGCACATCCTACTATTAAACACATTATTTGTGTTTTGTGTTGCCGCTTTCAGATGGCGCGATAGTCTGCTAACTCCCGAAAAATCCGGTGAACTGCATGTCCAGGTTTCGTAACACAGTTTCCCAACTGTTATGATTGAATAACTCTGGTTTCAAGATACATACACTATTTAAAAATGTTATTACTAGAAAGCAAAATACTCAGCCTTTTTAGACTCTTTTGTAATTTACGTTCTATAGCAAAGCCTCTAATAATATCTGCTGTGTTGCAAGTGTTTCACTCATGTATTTCCACAAAAACTTCATCTTTTGTTCAGAACCGAGTACAATAGCCTCTCAATGACTCATACTGACAATTTAAACAAATCTCACTTTTGAATGGCCCAGCATGTTGCCAATGTATTTTAAGATGGCTTAATTCAGACTACTCTATTGCATTAACTTGTATTATTTTGGTCAATTCTCGCTTTTTTCTTGTCTATGCCAGAAAATATGTGCTCGAAAATATGTGCTCTAACAATCTAGTATTGGCTGAGGAAGAAACAAACAAAAACAAACACGCACGGCACGGCCAGTTCAACATGTACCTGTCGTGTGCAAAAAGCTTAAGCCACTTTCAAGGCAGCATAGTGGTGTTACGCGGAAAAGTATGCTAAGATTAGGAAGGCAGTCACCAGCTTTTACGGGACACAATGCCTTTTATCCCTTAATTACACATGCCTGCACATGTCATATAATAATGAGCAGAAGTCTGATCACATGCTGACTCAAGAAACATTGCTGGCAATCATTCAAAACTGTTTATGACATTGCAAATAAAAACAATGCATGCCAGTTACAAGAAAACTATACTCTGTTTCAGAAGTTCCCTTCAGCACAGTGGAGGCTACAGGGCCCCTCAGCCAATAATAATTAGGAGATTAGCCCTCTACATGTATTCATCCGTGCCATGTCGTCTGCTCACCATCTTTGCGGCGCCGGCTCGCTGAATTGTTTAAACACACTAATTGCAGATAAGGCTAGTTTATTAACTTAGAAATGCAGTTAAACTGCGACACAAGCTCTCACACCAGAAACTTTAAGCGTGAATTTCTTGCTCTGCTGAAGATCAGTAGATGCTCATACCAGCGGATAACTTTGCAGTTGTTTCTCTCCGACGCTTTTCCTGGCTCTCGTACAACTGCTTCTCTGTCGAGGTGTTCGTTCGTGTCTCTAGCTGCAATACTTATTTCCCCCTTTTTTTTCGTTTCAATCAAAGGAGGATCTGACGCGCACGAAACGCTGTGCCATGTTGCATGTCCATTGGAGATGCAGCGTTCTTGTCTGGCGGCGCAGCCCAAGCACTGCCTCGGCGCATTAGTCTTAGTAGGTGCGGCTAAGCAAGCGGCATATCTCACTAATAACGACAAAACGTACCTGATGTTTTATCCTCAGAGTAAGATGACCCAAATTGATGGTGGATTTCAACGCTCATTTGTTGCTGTCAGGGCTGTGGGCGTGTAGCAAAAGCAAGTTTGGATTGAAGCAGGCGGTCGCTACTGCATGGGTGCTGCCACGTTGATTTGTAAACACAGTTACAGGCGGTGACAAAAATAATTTCATCTGTACGAACTAAATGTGAAGAATAAACATATCACATATCTATGTGGTATAACACACACCAAACAAATGCCAATTTTAGTCAAAAGGGTCAGTTTTAAGGCACTTTTATATCTGGTGGTGGTGGTAGTGGTTAGAAGATGAGAAAAGGCACCTAATTTCTGCAACCCTGGTCGGGGTACGGCGCAGTGCCTACGGGAAGGGAAAAAGGAGAAAAGTGGATAGAAGAGAAAAGATTAAGTGAGTAGTGGCACGGTCGTCATCAGCATAGCAGCAGTCGAGAAGCAAGGGTAGGGGTATTTATATCTGGGACTATGTTTTGCTGCGCAAGTGTGTGGCTTTTTTACATCTCGTAGCTTTGGTATTGCTGAACCAAAGTGGTGAAACAGAGTGTAGACGCGACACAAACCACAGGGGAAGAATAGGAGAAAGGAAGGATTGTCAACTCGCAACTAACTACCATATTTACTCGATTCTACCGCGCCCTCGATTGTAACGCGCACCTGGGTTCCACGACGAAAACAAAAAGTAAGACATCGATTGCGACGCGCACCCATTTTTCTCGTGGGCCCGCACGATCACACCACTCGAAAAAACGACTCCTTTTGGGAGCGTTTTCCATTTAAATATGAGGTACGGGGGAAGCTTGTACCCATCTGACGTGTAACAGAGCATTGCCGTTACTGTAGTTTTACCGTGGACTGATGTCAGCACGCGAACTTGCTTCGCCCCCTTCTTCTCGACGGTTTTGGTGCCAGGCATGTCGAAGTAAAGAGGCGTCTGAACGGCATTCCCGATTTGCCCAAGCAGGTAGCCGCTGTTGTGCCGCAAGTTTAAGACAAACCTCTGAAAACTGTGAGGCTTTCCATCGTACTCCTCCGGAAACTTTTCGCATATGCCGTTTGCCTTCAGAGGGAAAAGACTTTCCTCTTCATAATGTTAGTTAGCCAGCACCTGCTTGCTTTAAACTGGCGCTGCATTAGACCTTTTTCTAAGGCTAACTGCATAGCCGCCCTTGGAGCAGTTCTGTCGTGGGCTGCTCGCTGCTCAAGCACATACTCGCCGAGCAGCTCTTCAATTTGCGGAAACCGACCCTGCTGTGGTACACTGAAGCCTTTGCGTGAAGCTTTGCTGTTGACAATCTTCTGTCTTTGTTTCCAGCAGTCCCGTACGCACGCTTCGGGAACTCCGAACGACCGCGATGCGGCCCGATTTCCGTCCGTTTCTGCACACGCGATGACTTTTCTTTTAAAAGCGGCATCGTGGCGCACTCAAGTTTTTGGAGTCGGCCCGTTCCATGCCGTCGATGCTAATGCACTACAATATGACGAACTCCTCAGCACACGTACGAAGTGCCGCACATGGGAAACACATAGGCAGAAATGGCCGACGCGCTATGCCCATAGAGTTTCTCAATATATACTAGAGGGAACTCTGGTGCTAGTGTCTATAAGAGCTGCAACACATGGTGCTTCAGCGAGCATGGGAATGATGGGTAGTACACACATTTGTCTAATTTTCATACTTCTTGCCTGCTTCTGGCTCCGTGTGTGTTTGTGTGGCTTGGAGCTGTTTTTTTCACGAAAACATAAATTAGCAAATGTTCACCGTTTTCACTTCACAACCTTATTATTTTAGGCTTACCATTTCGAATCAAGTCAGTAAGTTTAAAAGGGTTTGTTCTTTCTTTCAAAAGAAAACTGAAACACAGCAATAAATCATTCAAAAAAAAACTGAAACACAGCAATAAACGAAGCCGCAAGTACGATTCGCCGCCCACAAGTACGAAGACTAGGCAAATGTGTGTACTACCCATCATTCTCATGGTCGCTGAACGATCGCAGCACCAGAGTGCCCTCTAGTTAATTTTGGGAAACTCTATGGCCATGCCAACGCACGTAGGGGGCGGCCATTTTGGAAATGCCGATGGCAATAGATTGACCGTATTCATTTTTTTTCGAACTCGATTCTAACGTGCATGCGATTTACGAACTCGCTTAACCGGAAAAAAGGTGTGTGTTAGATTCGAGTAATTATGGTATATTCTTGCAAAAACCACCGCAATATATACACCATGCCACACATGTGCAATTACAGACTATTACATCACAATCGAACACTCTCAAAGCACGTGCTAGTTCAGAAACCTACAAGAGTGGAAGCTTGTGGAAGCTTGGGCTAGTTAGTGTGTATGCAGTAACCTCTAAAAAAAAAACCAAATTCAGAATGTCCGATTGTGTAATGTGATGTAATGGGGTGTTATTGCACATGTGTGATATGGTGGATATATTCTGGTGGTTTTAAAATGCTAAAGTTGATTGCGACTTTGCTTTTTTCTTTTGTCCTATTCTTCCCAGGTGGTTTGCTGTCGTCTAGTTTTCTTGTAACATGCACCAACTAGCCATCAACTGACCCAACATAAATTTTACTAATGCATGTCAGTTTTCATTTGGTGCACACCCCAATTTGCCAATCGTATTTTAAATTAATTATTAATCTGGTTATGTGCCAATAAAAGGAGAGATTGCCGGTGGTTTAGTGGCATTGAGAGCTTTATGGTGGCAGAATGGTTAACCTTTTCCTCATGGCTGTGGACTGTGACTGGCTCGTTTTATTTGGCAGCTCAGCCGCTCCAACCATACTGGCTAGAAAAGGAGATGTGCACTCCTTTTCTGGCATGGTTTTTAATGAGGAGGAGATGGTGATGTCAGAACATTGTTCTATGCTTCGCAGATCTCGCAGGGGCACAGCTTGGTGCCAACATGTACTCTTCTCCTACCTTCTGCTAACTTCATTGCATGATTATCCAGTTATTTCTGCCTTATCTTTAAAGCTAGTAATATTGTAAGTGCAATTAGACTTATAGCAGAAAAATAATAACAATAAAATAATGTAAGATATGCATTTTATAGCCATTGTTTGTATGCGATGTTTACAGCTTATCGGATTCTCTCATTACCGATGCCACTCATGCAGATGGCCATCTCCTGCTGAATGGTCGTCCAAGTGCAGATAACTTCACATATTCTCCTGTGCTGCAAGAATGGACTAAAGCAACCGAACATACGAATGCGCCTTTTGAGAACAAAGACACTTCTTGGTCATTTGATGTCAGTCGAACGTCAGGACCCCACAGTCACCAGGAGGGTGTGTAACATTGAAATATTCAGTCTTACTTTTGATACAGTGTTACAAGTTATGACAAATTTTTGGGTATAGCAATTTTCTTTTTGCATCACATGTTTACTTTGTTATACAGTGGAACCCCTTTATAAGAGACAAATGGGTATAAGAGACACCGGTGTGCCTACAGTAAATATGAATTGATGGGTTGATGAAAAAAAGTATATAAGTTACCCTTCTTATAAGAGACACCTCATACAAAAGGCAGGAATTGCCTGCTCAGAGCATGCCTCTTATAAAGGGCTTCAACTGTAACAAGGTTTGACTATATTAGTAATATGCTATTTAAGCTGTATATTATGTTGAAAGCTATTATTATTGTAACAAATTAGAATAAATGAAGATCAACATAAAGACGAGGCAGGCAAGGATAGCTGCTGCAAGCAACATGTCAGTAGATGATTATGAGCACTGCACACATAAGAAAGCAATCTAACGTGCACATTGCAGTGTTGTTTTTTCCTACGTAAGAATTTCAGAGTTATAGTGTTACTGATCAGAGCCATGGCCAGGAATTTTTTTCGGTAGGTGTTTGTGGATGGAATGGCTAACTTTGGTAACTGGCATGTAAATAGGTACTTTAGCATTCACCCGAAAAGTTAAAAGGGTGAAAAAGTTTCAGGGGATGTCAGAACCCCCTCAACTTTTCTTCAGTTACAGCCCTGTGACTGTTGCACTTTACTTGCAACTCTATCTCACTGGCTTCTCTGATTACACCAGCTCACTCTATCGCTGCTTATTTTTTGTTAGAATTACCTAATTCTATCGATGCTGGTCTGTCACAGTACTTCTACAGTATCAAGGATATCGAAATTGGTGGTCGGTGTGTGTGCAATGGACACGCTGACACGTGCGACATCACCGACCCGGTGAACGCGTACAAGCTCAGCTGCCGGTGCCAGCACCACACTTGTGGACATCAGTGCGAGCAGTGCTGCCCTGGATTCACGCAGAAAAAGTGGCAGAGAGCCAGCATTGACAACCCCAATGTCTGCGAACGTATGTGCACACTTTTCTTAGTCATGTGGAAACTTTTTAGAGTTTTGTGCAACTAGAAATGTAGCTTAAAAAGGTGCGACTTGGGCTAGTTGGTGTGTCATAATGATTGCTATAGTGCGACCTTAGGAGAAGTGCAGAAGGCGCACAGAAATGAGCACTCTTCTTCGTGCACCTTTTGTCCTTGTCCTGAGCTTGCGCTATAGCAATCATTTTGCGCAACCTTGCGTAAATTTGTACATTCACAGAACCTGGTGACAGCTTGATATCTAGTGACGCTACAGCCAGCCTCAATTAATGTTGTATTTTCTTATTAAAGGTATCTTTTGTAAAATGTAAGTATTACCAGTGATAAAATGTTTATAAAGAATGTTTTCTTATACTTCTTTTGTTACTTTTTTGTTTTTGTGTAGAAAAGATGTTTTTATGAGGCATCATTTGTAATGTAACCTTAAAGTACAGTTACATGGTGTCAAAATTAATCCCATTTTGCCTGAATCTCTGGTATTATGGCATGCTGCCAATGGCAACGAATTTTCGCCAGGCTGTGACTTTTTCGTACCTAGGCTAAATGATAGTTGGCAGAAATTTCTTGTCACACTAATAGGCATCTAAGGCCTGCAAGCTATGATCCAGGAAGTGAAACATTTTTGTGAAAATTTCTGGCAGTTCTAGTTCTGGCTTGTTCTCTTTGCAGCTATTTGATTCAGTAAGAAAACCAAACTCTTTTTACTGATATGCAGCCTGCAACTGCTTTGGACACACTAACGACTGCTACTATGATGAGAAAGTGGATGAGCAGCAGCTCAGTTTGAACATTCATGGCATCTACGATGGAGGCGGGGTCTGTCGCAACTGCCAGCACAACACCGAAGGCATAAACTGCAACAAATGCAAGCCTAGCTTTTATCGTCCCTACAACAAGCCCTGGAATGACACCAATGTCTGCCAACGTATGTGATGTGCTGTCTGCACATAGTAAACTACTCAGCATCATTATATATGAATGGTCTTGTATCGTAAAATCTCGAGGAAGTACCCACCCGGCAATGAAGGACAATTTGACAGGATTCGGAGAGGGGGGGCCCTTGCTCAGTCATTAATCAAAATTCAAGATGGCGGTCTAAGACCTGCTGAGAATAAATAATTAATGCCTGTGCTTCTAATTAAATGCATCATTAAAGGCACATGTATTCACTGCTTTCATTTGTCCACCTATAGGAGAATAAAAAACTGTGAATAAAACAGTGAAAATGGTTGCAGGGGAAAAGGGCTCACATATTCAAAATCTTCCAAGGGGAGGGGGGCGCTTGCTCAATTAGGACTGCTTGCTTGGGATTTGATGGTGGTGCATGACTTTAAAAATTCACCTAATAGGACCCTAAAGGCTTGAATAGTAGTGATGTTACATGTGATTTATAATTATGGCTTATAACAATGGTGTCTGCGGAAATAACAATAGATATCAAAACTCATGCGGTTTTGAGATTTAGCTGGAGTGCCGTTGCTTTGTGGTGCAGTAGTCTGATCTTATTAGCAGCATGCCCCCAGTGGCCTCGCTGATGTAGTTTCCGTGTGTTGAATAAGAAGCATTTGTAAGATATATCTGAATAATTTTTCTGCTACTGTACCTGACAAACAGATGTATTGAGGACATGTACATTCTTTGTATGTATGCAGTAAAAAGCACCGTAATATTACAGAGCTTGTGTTATCGAGCGGTAGGTTGGTGACCTTAATATAATATACCTGTGATGCTGAACAGCTGGTGAAAAATTTGCACGGTATGTGCTCTAATGTATAGTATATGTGTTATCTGTGCTGTGCAGCATGCCAGTGTGACCTGACATATTCCTCGGGCAACTGCTCAGAAGGGTCAGGCCAATGTGAATGCCGGCCAGAATTTTTGCCACCAAACTGCGACCAGTGCAATGTCGGCTACTATGGCTACCCGTCCTGCCGCCCTTGTGACTGTCACGCAGAGGGCACTCAGGGTCGTGTCTGTCAGGTCAGTGGGATGGTGGCACTAAAGGCATTCATACAAGGTCGGTTTCATTCACCTTTACCAGTTTGAACCGGTATACTATGTGATCTGGCAAGTTTGTAAGCTGTGTGGCTCGAGCTCAGTGGTGCAGGCACAGTACGACATCAGAAATGAAAGACCAGTTGCGCATAGCACATACTGATGACACATTGAAGCTGCTGGCTTAAAAGAAGCCTTTACCCATTATTTTAGTGTTTAATGTAGTGGGATTTGAATTAATTAAGTTGAATAAAGTGGGAATAAAACTGAATGAAATGGTGGAATGAGATAGGAGAAGTAGCGGGAGAAATATTGGTGAGTGGTGGAAGCCTTGAGTAGTGACACTTGTCCGTTTCCGATCTATGACGACCCTCGAGCATTAGAGCCTCGACTGAGTACAGCTTCGCTGCTAAAATGGTGAAGTGCTGGCATAGCTCAGGCATTGTATTCTGTCCACTTTACAAGCTGCATTTGTGTAAACTTGAGAGGTCATGAACTTCAAGTAGAGTTGGTTTCTGAGATGTAAACATGTTCCGTGTTGTGCAGATCCTGCACACATACATCAGTGGTGTTCGAACGGCACCCACATCCATTTGCTATGCTGATTCTCAAGAACAGGCTAGCCTCAGGTTAACCTAACTGTCTTTACTTTATCTTTCTCACTCATATGCTGCTTCCTTGCACCCATGTGTGTGCACTGAACAGGTTTGACAGCAGAGGAGGCGTGGAGGGGAATAAACATTGTGAAACAGCCCTGAAACCTCTGTTGTGGCTCTTGAAATCAATGGCATGGCTTTGAGAACTGCATTGCTACATCTATCAAATCAATGGCATGGTAGAGCACCTCGTGAACTGTTTCAGATGGTGCAGGTGAATTGTTTGGGCCTACATTTCAGTGCCTACAGTTAAGATTATCTTTAGTCCTGGTATTCTGGGGCAGTGAAGTTCAACATGTCCTTCATGCATGATTTGCTCATGTTGCTACTGACACTGACTGCATCACATGCATAGCTCACATAGGCGCTTGTTCTCAAACCAACCTTAATCTTATCTTGCATTTTCCTTATCAGCTTTGCACCTCACAAAACTAATAAAAAAAGAGCGAGATAAGGCAAGATAGGTAACGTAGGCTGGTATTCATAAATCAGTCTTGTAGTGATTTTTAGTTACTGTTTTTGTGCTCTCAAAACAGATGCATATTGTACAGAAACTTAAAAAGGTTGGTTTGCGAATTTAGACCTTAAAGGGCATTTTTATCCTCTCCATATTGCTCCTAAGAATCATTAAACAGCACCATTTTCAATATTACATTGTTTCAGTATCCTAGAGCTTCCATTAATTAAAATTGAATTATCTGTCAGTATTTTTCGACTGTTTAAAAAAAACGATGCTGTCACAGAAATGTCTTTTGCAGTCAGAATTTCTATTTTTGAAAAGAAATGAATCAACCAACATACATGAGCATAACAAGTATTCATATGCTCTATCATATTTAAGTAATCAAGTTGGAAAGCTTTGGCTCATTAAGCTTGCCTTCTTTCACTTTATGAAATGTTTTTTTTTTCTCAGGTGAATGGAGGCCAGTGTCCATGCCGCCCTTACTACGAGGGAAAAAACTGTGACCGCTGTGCTCCCGGCTACTATGGTTTTCCAAACTGCCAGCGTGAGTTGAATATATAGGCTTCTTGGTAACACTGTAAAGTATACATACTTCATTCTTCATGATAATGCCGAGTGTTTCCTTCGAAGAGAGACATGCATAATTTCTTTTCACTGGCATGACTTGAGCCAGTGTCAGATAGCCGCCATTATGATGGGACATATGTGGCAGCTGCTTTCTAAGACCCTTAGATTACCGTATTTACTCGATTCTACCGCACCCTCGATTGTAACGCGCACTCGGTTTTCACGACTGAAAAAAAAAAGTAAGACATCAATTGCAATGCGCACCCATTCTTTCGTTGGCCCGTTACTCAGGAAAACAACTCCTTTCGGGAGCGTCTTCCGTTTAAATATGAGGTACGGGGTAAGCTTGTGCCTATCTGACGTGCAACGGAGCATTGCCGTCACTCTTGTTTTACCGTGGCCCGATGTCAGCATGCGAACTTGCTTCGCCCCCTTCTTCTCGACGGTTGTGGTGCCAGGCATGTCGAAGTAAAGAGGCGTCTGATCGGCATTCCTGATTTGCCCAAGCAGGTAGCCTGTTGTTGTGCCGCAAGTTTAGGACGAACCTCTGAAAACTGTGACGCTTTTCTACCTACTCCTGCGGCAAGTTTTGGCGCATGTCCGTTCCCTTTCGGAGGGAGAAGCCTTTCTTCTACATTAAGTTAGTTAGCCAGCACCTGCTCGCTTTGAACTGGCTTCGCGTTAGCCCTTTTTCTAAAGCTAACTGCATAGCCCGCACTTAGAGCAGTTCTGTCATCACGGGCTGCTGTGCCACTCGCTGCTCAAGCACATACTCGGCGAGCAGCTCTTCAATTTGCTGGAAACCGACCCTGCTGTGGTCCACTGAAGCCTTTGCAATGAATCTTTGACAATCTTCTGCTTTTGTTTCCGCCAGTCCCACACGCACGTTTCGGGAACTCCGAACGACCGCGATGCGGCCCGATTTCCGTCTGTTTTGGCACATGCGATGACTTTTCTTTTAAAAGCGGCATCGTGGTGCTTTCGTTGAGTTTCTGGAGTCAGCCCTTCCATGCCATTGATGCTAAGGAACTACAATGATGACGAACTCCTCAGCACACGTACGAAGTGCCGCACATGGGAAAGACATAGGCAGAAATGGCCGACTTGTCATGCCGAAGCACGTAGTGGGCGGCCATTTTGGAAATGCCGATGGCAATAGAATGATCGTATTCATTTTTTTTTTGCACTCGATTTTAACGCGCATGCGATTTATGAACTCGCTTAACCGGAAAAAAGGTACGCGTTAGATTCGAGTAATTACGGTAAGTGAAATTTCGTGACATATGGTTACATGTGAAAGAGATGGCTTTGAGAATGTGTGTTCACCACGAGCTACTTTCATCACTGATGTACTATCAGCATAAAATGAAAGCCGAACAGCGGAGCGTGTGACACCAGCACTTTTAACATTATAGTGCTCGCTGTCCTGTCATCACCACTGACAGGCGAGCACATCCGGTGTGGCAGCACTGCGCAATCTTCTTATAGTACCTTATTCTCACTTCTGTTCCAGTTTTCATATGGTGATAGCGATAGCTTTTCATCGTATCGCTTTTACTCCAGCTCTGATTGCACTCAGCGTCAGGGGCATATAAAAAGAAAAGATAAATCTTATCGCTCTGTGGTTGATTTTACGTTATCATCTTTTCTTGTTCAGCAGCACTGCTCTTGCTTTACCTGCAGAGTTTTTTGTTTTTGGGAATTCAACTAGAATGGTTCATTTAACATAAAAATGCCGAGTGTTTTTTTTGAAGAGAGACACGCATTTTTTTTTTACTCGCACGACATGAGCCAGCGTCAAATTGCCGCAATTATGAATCATCCTTTCTGTACTGCAAATAAAATTTGCCAAGTAATCTGGGAAGAAGGACGCCTCTGCCACCTTTCCCGTGGACATAGGCAGCGGGTGACTAACAGCGCAAAGGACCTGCTCTTAAACAAGCAGCAATAGAGAAAAAGCGGCACAGTTCATCAGGCTCGAGAGATCAAAAACAACTTACACCTGTCTGTCTACACATCAACGATCAGACACCCACCGCACCACAATGCTGAAGCGGAGCATCGCAACTGAACCAACCACAAGTCATCAGCATGCCCAGGCCAATAACCACAGCGGCTGCTAGTGATATACTGCGATGCGCAGGTTCGGCGATCAAATGCATAAATGTTGCAGAATTTTCTCTTCCGTTTTCTTTTTTCTTCCTTTCAAAAATCCGAGTTGGAAAACAGGGGGAAAAAATTACACTTCACTGGGGTGGTGCTGTGCCACCAAACCAAATGTGTGGACCTGTCTGCGCTGATGACTGGACGGCATGCACTATGCTGTTTCTAATGCTTGTGGCACGCGCTCTGCTGTTCGGCTTTCATTTGACGGTGATAGTAGATCCGGCAAAAAGAAAAGTTGGGCTTGTTGGTTTGGGTTCATTTCGATGCTCGAACGTGAATTGACTTACTTGGATAAGACGTAATAATGTTACAAGACTGTAGTCTTTTTCTCATATGCATATGTTGCGTGTGCATGCTTTGCTTCTTCCTTCTTCTCTTTATTTTTCTGTTTCGCTTGAATAAAGCACTCAGTTGTCATTCAGCGCTCTTGTTATCAAGTCTTTGTCTGTGTGTTCTGTCTTTTGCAGCTGTTTAAAAATGGTGTAGTATCTTTAGTTATTCTGCAATGTTTATTGTTATTTTATGCACATTGAACATGCTATAGTACACTTACGTCCTTACTCATCTACATGTAGCCTGTGACTGCGACCCAACGGCTGCCTTGGGCAGAACCTGCAATGACAGTACAGGGCAGTGTCAGTGCCGGAACAGTTATGGAGGTCGTCAATGCTTGGAGTGCCAAGTGGGCTTCTACGACTACCCAGCTTGCAAATGTGAGAGCCTTGTGCACAGTTCTTTAAATTTATGCTAGATGTGGCATAACCGTATTCTTAATGCAAACTGAACTTGTGCTGAAATTTGTGGGTCTCCCAGTGTAGGTAGCACGCATATCTTGCTTTGTGACACTATGTTTTTGTTTGCATGGAAGGACACAAGCATTGCATGACAGAGAAGGCAAAGATGTAGCTCCATGTTAGTACTAGCTGACCAATACATCACTCAAAAAGTTGGTTAATACTCTGTGAAGTCCTTGACTGCATCACGATATGTTGTTCATCGTCACTAATGCATGCCGCACCTTTACAAGCATCGAAAGCAAGATTAAGATTATAAGATGGTGCATTTTTTCTGCACAAAGCTTTTTATTTTCAGCCTATGGTATCCTGGAACATTGCTACAATAAAACTTTATCAGGCAGAAAAATAACAATTTAAACTGAAAAGTGTCTGTTATAGTTTACATCTACCGTAAAGGATATTAGTATCAGCTAGCTGTACAAAATATTTGCTTCTATCAACACATATACGCTGCTCAACCACATTTCTTGCTTGCTTTCTTTTTTTAAGGAATAGCAAGACTGTAATTTGTTATCAAATGCTCCAAAAGCTTTGTTGTATTACATTGCTGAAATAATACGATTTTTATTCTCTTGCTTTTACTGCCCACACTTTCATTTTTTGAAACTATACGGGATGTGCACGGTGTATTTTGTAGTAAATAATAGAAAAGAATTGCATATATCCATGTTTTCTCGCATATAACGCCCAGAATTTTTTTTAATTTATAGAAAGTTAAAACAAAAAATGCAGTACGGTTTACAAAGGTGGCTTCATGGTGGTGCTTCTCAGGTATGCGAAATAGCTAGCTTTACAGCAGTACAAGTGGGTCAGTTATAGAAAATTTTCTGCAAATCGCTCTCGATAATGTGGGCTATAGGCAAGAAAACATGGCAAATATCACACAGCAAAATTATAAGTGGTAGTTTTTATGTGCTCCATTTCTTAGTGTAAGCTTTTGTGCACTACAATGTATAAAAATTGAAGGAGAAAAAAACAACAACAAGATTTTTAAAATCATAGCGTGCAAATGTTTACGCTATGTACAAGCACCTAGCCCCTACCCTCGCTCTTCTCCATTTCTCATTTTTTCCCACACAACTTGTGAGCTAATGTTTTGATTCGCTATAATACTATATATATTCAAGCATATAAAGAAAGAAAATGTCATTTACTTAATGCTTTTCACAATATTTATGACTACTGTGTGATTGTTAACTATGCCATAATGGTGACTGCCGATGCAGTGTGTGCCTGTGACACGACGGGAACATTGGCTGAGGTCTGCAGCAACCAGACTGGCCAGTGCCTGTGCAAGCCTGAATACGGAGGTGCACGTTGCGACCAGTGCGCACCTGGTTACTATGGCTTCCCCAACTGCATACGTGAGTTGCCCTTGAGCACTTGACTCCAAGGGCGCCGAGGGGCAGTGCAGGGGACTGTTATCCTAGAGCTACAGGGGAATATCCTTGAGACATTTTTCACGGAAATTGCAAAATTAAATGTGTTATGCAAAAGTTCCATTAACCAAAGAGATTAAAAACAAGAGTAAAACATACATGCTCTGTCAGCTGTTCACTTCTATTGAGCAACTATTGAAATAGTAAACTTGTGCTGCACTTACTTCTTTTCTGTGCCTAGGGGTAAATTCTTCCTAAAGTAAAAGAAAAGGAATGGTAATATACTAAAAGATAAATGTCTAGATATATCAGACAAGATCCTCCTCCGTGGTTGTGTTATCCAGTTTTGAGCATAAATGTGACCGTATAAACCACATAAAAATGCATTAACATCAAGAAACATTGGCCAAGATTAAAGAAAAAAAATGTAATCGGCTGGAAACGTATTATGTAGAATTGTACTGAGATTGCAGTGTATAAAATTGTGTCAGTGATAAGTTTTGCAAAGAAGTTTTGAGAATAGCAATATTCTTATAATTCACCTAATAAAAAGACAAGGAATGTGAAAGGGAAGGTGAATCTGAAAAACAGTAGCTTTTGACCAGTAGTATACGCAGACCTCGTAAATAATGAACTTATAGTCAAATCTGATTATTCTCAAACCTTGATGTAACCCAGATAAAATATTGGTTATGATGAAGTAGCTGAAGAATACTCTTGCAATAAATATAGTGTTAGAAATATACTTTTATAATGAATTTCGAGACATAACAAATTTTAAAGTGGGATGCAACTTCGTTACAATGAGGTTTCAGTGTGTATGTATTGAATGTTCTTCGTGTAAGTCACTTATTTTTGTTGCTGTTTGCAAAACCTTTTCTCTTTGTTTATCACTTCTCTCTGTATTTTTCTCCAGCTTGTCAATGTGATCCTAAGGGCTCCCTCAGTGAAGTCTGTGATGCCTCCGGGAAATGCCCCTGCCTGGCTAGTTTCACCGGACTTCAGTGTGACCAATGTGCACCTGGATACTTTTCTTACCCAGAATGCCACCGTAAGTCTGCATCTAATGAGTGTGTTCATTTCAAATACCTTCAGGAAGCCTTGTTGTAATGAGCACTGATATGACAAATTATTGGATACTAGAGTTATTAAAGAATATTCTTGCCATAAATGCATGTAATGAATGTACATTAATAACAAATTTTAGTATATAACGAAGCCACTTTTATGTCAGGTGCGCCTTTCTTTCACGAGGTTTGGCCACAGAGGAGCATCAATTCGGAATATTTTTGTAATTTGGCCAGCCTTTTTTTCTGCAATATTGTTGATTAGTGCTTGCAACAATCCGTATGATAATTAACAGAATTCTTACATAAATCACAGCACATTATATTTTTTTTCAGTCAAAGCGTCTGATAATTTTTTGATGTAACATGTGATAAAGATTGTCACGATCTCACTTTCTAATTTTCTGTTACTTTTATAGCCTTTTAGTTTATATGTCAAGTTCGTGGCGCTGCTTGCTCAAGATTACATGTCTGAAACATGCAGCAAAAAGGCATTGCAGCCATGTGCCAGTATTCTCTGATGGAGTACCTGAATGTATTCTTTACTGTACGCTAGTTTCTGTACATGAACTAAATGACAATTACTAAGTTGAATGGATGGAGCCTGTGATGTGGAAAGGTTAAGGCTGTGCTTGAGCCTCTGCATTGCCAGGGACCTGCATGCAGCAGTGTGCATTTGTGGCTATGTGCACACACTCTGTTGCTTGACACACTGGCACATTTGGACGCTGCGCTTTTTGCCACAATGTACAGTAAAGCTAGTTATCGGATTGACATATACTGAGTGCTCAAAATAAAATATAAATGTATGATAGGACAACTTTCATAGGCACAGTTGTACACCTTTATTTCTGACTATAAATAGGGTGTATTCATGGAAGTTCCTGTTTGTATGATTTTTTTTTTGTTAAGTGTGCTAAGTGGTGTTAACGGCATGTTGCTGTCACATGTTCAAGTAACTTCCACGGGTTCGTGTAACTGCTACATGTACTTTCTTTCCATACAGCGTGTGAGTGCGACACCTACGGTGCTGTAGGTGTCTCTTGTGGCAGTGACGGCATATGCTTCTGCAAGCCGAACTTTGACGGAGATAAATGCAACAGCTGCAAGAAGGGTTTCTACAACTACCCACTCTGTGAAGGTATAGGTCCTAAACAGTATTTTCTTACTTGCATAATTATTGTGACTAGCATCATTTGGTGATTTCATCTGTTCTTTAATATGCTTTCTCATAACCTCTTTCATGCTAGTTTGGTCCACAGGGCCTAATTGGCACGAATTGTCAAATGAGTGGCAACTAGTGGAGAATACAGCAAAAGAAAACTTACAGGGGGTCAGTGGTAGAGATGTGAAGAAGTCATTCTGAGGAAATTGTGCAGAAAAGGACCAGCGCACACTGCTCTTCAGGGCTTGTATACTGACACTGAATAATGTAGGCATCACTGTGTGGAAATTCACTTGTGAATCAAATGAATTTCATTGCGAAGTTCACCAAGCGTATGCTTATTTGCTCATTGTCATATGTAAATTCTTAACTTCTCTTTTTTAATTGTTCTGTGTCAATGTGATTGTGTATTAACAGTAATGAAATTATACTATTATTCGTAACTAATTTTAAGTATTGGTAAAGGTAAAGATTTCTAGCATTAATATCTATATGCAACTGCTTCTCTGCTAATCCTACTGAAGGGTAGATGACATTACATTTAAAGTAATCATCAGTAGCAGCGTTGAGCCACGAATGTTGAGCTACAAATAAATGAAGATGTTGGCAGCAGAAAATTAAAGTTGGTTGAGCATAAGTGGAAAATTTGGCTACACGATATGCTGCTAAATTGCTTCAGTGCTAATGACATTAACATTGACACTCATCATGACATGTACACCCAGCAGCAAAAGTTTGCGGGACACGAAATGCTCGAGAAAGCTATATTCTCACTTTGTCTGGGAACGAAACTTCCAAATAAATGCTCGAGCCTGTAGCTGGCATGACAACCTATACAGTTACCTGATAGATCAGAAGCACTGTGCAGTGATAGAACAGAAATTCTCATTTGTTGTGGAGCCAATGCCTCGCAAACTTTTGCTGTTAGGTGTACTTATTATGTTGGAATTTATTTCAATCGCTTAAGTACACAAATCGAGATTTACTGCTGTAATGAACAGATGAGTGTTCCCATTGGGTGAATTACAGTGTCATGGATTAGCGTGAGCTACTCATCCTGAAATGTTCTATGAACGTTGCGGGGTCTCGGCCAGGCGAACGAGCGCATCGCCACGCCACGCTCTTGGAGTGAACGGACCCAGCAGACGCGGTCGGTACAAAGCACACAACATGCATACATTTATTAACTAATTTAGACGACGATATCGTCTGCTGAATGATACACCAATTTCAATTAACACGCTACCATACAAACAACATAACGCAGTGACACACTAAACACACAATAACATGATAAACACACACTAACACACACAACACACTAACACATACCCAAGGCGGCGGCGCCAACGCTTGACTTACCACGTGGGACTCTGGCGCAAAGCCCGCGGTGCCGAGCACCAGGGACCCACGCTACAGACAACCGTTCGTGGCAGCTGCCACGGGCAGAACAGGCTCGTTCAACTCTCGCCCACCACCAAGGCCTGCTTTCTGCCAGGGGCCACCGCCGGCGCTACCACTCTACCAACAGTGGTACTCAAAGCGAACACAACGCCATCTATCGCCCGGCGGCGGTCACCGCCGAAACAAAGCCTTGGGGCGAGACACGTGCGCTACGCGACGCAGACAACTTTACAGCACAACGTTTTATAGACAGAAAGGTGGCAGTTTGTCAAGCCTGAAATGCTGATAAAATAATTTGCACTAATGACAGCATTTCACATTAAGAAGCTCTCTGTGATGTGTTTGTTGTGTCATCTACTTGTTTATAATTACGGTTAAAATTGCCAATGTTGTGTTGCTCAGCTGAACTCATTTGACTCATTACATACTTGCACTTTTATTGTAAAATATACACAGGCTGCAACTGCAATCCTGCTGGTATTCTGCCTACATTCGGTGGATGTGGGAGCCTTACAAGTGGAGAACTGTGCGAATGCAAGGAACGCGTCACGGGTCGAATCTGTGACCAGTGCCGCCCACTCTATTGGAGCCTCAAGCCAGCTAATCCACAAGGCTGTGAAGGTTTGTTTGTTATTTTTTAATTGCTTATTCTTTGTATATTAGTCATACTTTGTTTATTAGTCACATTGCTTATTAGTCACAGCACTTCATTAGTCATGCGAGGGCTGACAGCATAGCACTTCGGCTTGCATTCTACTGTGGACAAATAAATTGTTCATATACGCATACAAAATACAGACGCACAGAGCTAGTTGAGCATGTCATATGGGCATTTGTTTTACTTTAGTGAAATAAGTTTTGATTTTCACTGTAAATAATGCTACTAATAAGAATAATTTAGCATGCTCTGTTTTGGCTGCCAATGATAATTTAGGCTCATAACTAAGCATTAGGCTTGTGTGAATAGTAGATTTTAAATGCTAGGCAAATAGTGATTTGGTCGAATAATTAAATTTCAAAAAATGATATACATCATATGTGATAAGAAAAAATCAGCATATTTTTTATGATCCAACTAATATGCACAATGTATCTCTATGTATATTTTAAATTGAAACAAAGCATGTGCAAGTGTCATTCTTTTTGGTTCAGACTTAGTGCAAGCCAACCTTGAATAGCAGCAGGATTTGACTTTGGGCAGAACCCCAGTGATAACCTGTACAATACATTACGTTTTAATATTTACTACACTTAAAGCTTATAAGCCAATATAACAAGCTTTTAAGCTTATGAAATGATGAATCGATGTGAGGGTAATTAACTCATTTAACCTTGAAGTAGAGCTTCACAGCGATGCAGATTGTCTTTAAAAAGGTGTTTTCTTGGTATAACATTTCTTCACTGCAGTGAAACCACCATCACAAAGGTCACATGCAGGTTAATATACAATTGTTTGTTCATGTCGAACACTACGAAATTTCTAATAATTTATATTTGAATCAAAGTGAACTTAAATACTGTAATATTTGTTCGAATATTTGAAGTGCTATAATATTCGTTCAAGTCTCTCCTAAGCGTACAAGTCTAAATCACAATGATACCACATGAAGCAAGGTGTGGGAGCGGGCTAGTTGGTATTCCATGTTTTAAACAGCTGAAGTGCAAAAAGGTAACAATGGACTAAGGAAACAATGAGAACAAGCGCTAACTTCCAACTAAAATTTTATTGAGAAGGACTAGCTTTAACTTCTAACTTAAGATTTATTGCAAAGCACCAAGAAGTTAGCGCTTGTCCTCGTTGTATCCTTAGTTCATTGTTACCTCTTTGCGCTTCAGCTGTTATGAACTGGCAAAAGTATAAATGGAATGAGTGAATTCTGGACAGCCCTGACTTGTTGCCATTTTACATGTTCATGATAGTCAGATTAAGTTACGAACATCTACATTTTGGCTGCCTTGCATAAAATAATACTGGTGAGTGATGTTCATATCGAGATGAGAGCTTAATTGCAACTTATGTGTTTGAAACAATAAATTGTGAAGAACGGTAGTTCTCTGGGTTCTATAAATTGATGTAACTGGAATATGTTACGGCTGCCTTAAAATAACAAGTCAATCCAATGCTGTAATATGTACCTTTATTGGCAGTGTAGTGTTGATTGAGAAAAACAACAGTGGCAAATAAAGATGTACTGCAGTTTTTTTTTTTTTTTCAAGGAGACGGAGGAAAATTGAATGGCGCAAGTCTCGAGCAGTAAATATTGAGAGGGAAACTTTCTTTTTGGGCACTGTGTTTAGTCATGCCTGTGGAGGTATTACATGGTAGAACATTAAACAACTAGTCGGTATTCTAGAAGTTTCTGTCCATTTTGAAAGTTTTCTGTCATAGTCGAGTTCTTGCAAAGTGTGAAGCCAAGGAGTCTGTGGAGAGCATCAATGTTTTGTTGCAGAGTGTGAGTGTCACATTCCTGGCACCGTGGGTGGCCTCGGAGTATGTGACGGACAGAGCGGTCAGTGCCTGTGCAAGCCCAATGTGGGACAGCGACAGTGCACCACTTGCACCGATGGCACTTTCATGCTGCAGGAGGACAACCTGCTAGGATGCCAAGGTAGGTTAGCATGTACAGCACATCCTCAACAACAAGTGGTCTAGGAAAATTAGCCGAAATAATGAAGAAAATTAAGGCCCAAAGAAAGTGCGGAGCGGGGCAGCTTTCTTCGTTTCTTTTTCTTTTCTGCTCTTTTTATTTCGTCTTTTGAATTTTCTTCTCCCTTTATTTTTTATTTCTTTTTTGTGTATCTATTTTTTCCTGTTTTTTTCTTGCTACTTTTTTTCTATTTTTATGCTTCTCTTTTGCACTTGCATCCTATATTTTTATTTCTATGTGTGGTTTTGCCTTTGTTATGCCAAGAGTATTGATTGTTTTTTTGCTGCTGATGATAAGTGATCATCATCAAGGTGCTCGAAGAACAAAAAGATGGAGTCTTCTCCTTGGCGTGAGCATGCTTTCAGTATGCTGCACATGGGACATTATATGCCAAGTGACAGCATATGACCGCTCGACCCCCTGAAGTTTTCTGCATTTACCGTAAGATTCAAATTCATCACTATGCACCAAATAGTGGGTGTCATAACTACATCAGCTCTGTAAATTATGGTAGCGTATGGATCAGCTAAGCTCTCGTTGCACAGTGTCAGTAGCGACACACTCATTTACAGAAGAGGGAGGTAATTTAGGTGGCAAGTATTTGTTGTACGAAGGAAGACATCTTCCTTGGTTATTTACATCTTTTTGCTTTATGTTTAAGCTGCAGAGCATGGAAACATAGACACAAGGAAGAAGTTATGACACCACAAGCGCCGACTATCTCAGCCTTTTGTCATTCTAACCCTTTCCTGCTAGGAGAGGGCCATCCTGCTTGTGTAGAGAGGGTTACATGAAGGGCACATTGAGCAAGTGGAGGGAGAATGCATACAGGGTGCATAGAGGGCCATCCTCAAACTACCTTATTAAACTGATCTCATTGGTTGATTGTAAGCTAGTGCAATATTGTGGAAATGATGGCCATATTTGCAGACCACATACACAGAGTATTTTCTGCAAGCTGTGAGTTTCACTGCAATACTGTATGTATCTGAATCTGATCTGGTGGATCATCTATGTGGACAAAGTATACGTAGAACAATTTTTGGCCAACCAATTAACTCAACTAATTCAGAGTTTTTGCACTGAATTGGTTGCACTGGAATGAAAAGCTTTGTGTATCTTCTCTGGTAAGCAATGCTGATTTTTTATTGTGTTTGTGGTTTTTAATGTGACTACAGGGTTTTCACTCAGCTAAGCACAGGGGTGGTGGTACTGTTTAAAATACTTTTATGAGAAAACCAGTGTAGGCAATCAGTTGTGCAGTGGCCTTGGTGGCTGTGTTCTAGTTATAGACAGCATCGTGGGCAGTCTACGGTGACAGCTTAGAATACAGCATCACGCTGATGTCCGTGAAACGGAACGTGTCTGGAAGTGTCTACACAACGAGACTCCACCTGCCGTCGAGAAGAGAAAGCTAAAATGAACAAATGTAACTGTTAGTTTTATAACTTATTTCGTGTTGAAATCTACTAAAAATTGCAACGTTACTCACATTGAGTGTCTGGAAAAGCTTCTGCTTGTGCGCAGAAAGACAACCATTCTGCTGAGATCCGAGGAGTTCACTGAGCCGCCATATTGTTTGAACAGAAAAATAGCCCGCATCGCTCTTGTCTACAAAACCATCTTCTCGAAGCTGTCTATTTTGCCGGCTGCATGAGAATCGGAATGGGACTTCAAATGGCTGCTGCCCACTTAGCTGTCTATTTAGCCATCTACGGTCTGTATTGGAACACACCTAATGATGATATGTCTGCTTTACAGACTGTGGCTGCGACGTAGGCGGTTCAGTGGGCAGCACATGTGATCAGCGCAACGGACAGTGCCCTTGCCGTCCACGGATCACCGGCCGTCGTTGCTCAGAGCCTCTGCAGGCGCACTACTTTCCCACATTGCACCAGCACCAGTACGAGGTGGAGGATGGTCACACACCGAGTGGGGTCAATGCCCGCTTTGATTTTGATGAGGCACTGTTCCCAGGATTTTCATGGCGAGGCTATGCCATCTTCTCAAATATCCAGGTAACTGACTGACCTGGAGTTTTCCTTTGCAAACTCTCCTGATTAGGAGAGTTTTCAAGCATGAGAATGTAGAATCAACATAGCCTAGCTTGTGACACGGAAATCTTGGAAGATGCATTGTAACTACCACTTCTATGCTCGGCCATGTTTGCGATTAATGTGTAACTTTTCTAACACAGTATATCTTATAAATGTTTCTGAAGATTGTTTTTCGTTAGCACCTCTTGCTACTAATTATTTAGCAAATTACAACTGTATTATTTTTTCTGGGATATGTTGCTGAGATATTATGGTGAATGAATTTTTGATAATTAGGGTATGTAACTTTGATAAGGCAGCTAAACGACATGAATTTAGCCATGCTTTCTTTTAGAATATTAACAAGTTGCACTGCCTTGCAGAGAGTATCACTAGTTGATTTGGAGCAACTTCTGCACCCTAAATGAATATATTCGGGGAATGAAGGCCTGTGTCACATGAATGAAATTGTAGGTCTGTTTAGTTGGAACACGGCAGTACATGCGATCTGTTAATCGTTAATTTACTGTGCAAAACACCATTTACATCTGCCGGTAAAATGTCTAATTTTTATCTATTTAAACAAACTTGCCTTCCTAATAGAAAAGAAAACTTCCCAAAGTGGCCAATAGAATGCACAGCTGGGCTTAATGCAACACATTTTCTTGTGCAGAGTTACGCACTGTTACAGCTCAGGGTTGCCTACCTTGTCACCAAGAGCTTGTCGTCAGTTGCATGGTTTTCTTTTTCAGAAAGAGATTCTGCTCGATCTGCGCATCCAGAAGCCAGGGCTGTATCAGGTCATTGCACGTTATGTCAGCCTCAACGGTGACAACATGTACTCCAACATCACCTTCACTCCTGACTTTTATGGAGGTAAGTGTAGGTTGCACAGGCATGCGTAAATTATCAACAACTCAATAGGGATGTTGTTTCTGAAGTACTTTGTAGGATAAAAGAAATGACATTTGGCCACAGTCGCCCTTCGATTATGTTGACACAGACACGAAGTAGCTTGCTAAGCTAGTTAGAATAATGAACTTTGATATGCTTCCGGTACTTAGGCTGAAATAGAAAGGCATGCAGGTAGGAAAAAGAAAAGGAGACAATAAAAATACTGGAACTTCTTAGTGTCTTTTTTTCGTGTCTGAGTGCTCTTTTATTTCCTATTTCACATAAGCACTGAAAACACATCAAAACTCTGCATACAGCAGTGCAAAATATCTGTTAGCATTCGCATCATGCAAAGCCTCTTGCATGAAAACAGCTCAGCTCACAAAGATGAAAGAAATTCTGGGCAATGTAGTAAAGTAGTCTATATAGATGAACACCAGATGGGGAGATAGTAGTGAAGAGTTGTTGAATATTATGTCATTTCGATGCTTATTATCATTCAGCAGTCTATGAATTGTCAGTCTGCACAAATTTCTCCACCCTACCTTACCCGTGTGTCCTTTGCAGAGACCAAGCAGAGTGAGATTTTGATCCTGCCACCCAGCAGGGAGCCACGCTTCCAGGCTGTTGTTGGTCCTGACGGTGTAACTGCATTGCCGTTCGTGCTCAACCCTGGCCGCTGGACCCTGTCCATCAAGGCACAAAAGCCAGTGTTTATGGTATGCCCACACATTTGTAGATTGTTTTCTGCTGCACAAGTTTCATGCCAAGAACTGAACTTGTGCGAATATTCGAGCGTTTTAAATATTTGAATGAATATTAACGTATTCAATTTCACTTCTATTCAAATTTAAACTGCTTAAAATTTAGAAGTATTCATTATGAACGAATAGGTGTATTTTGTTTTACATGTAAGCCACTTAGAAGTATGGTTTCACTGCAGCAGAGCGGTGCTGTACCGTGGGTATGTCGTTTCAGAAAAAATTTGCACTGCTTTAAAGTCTGACTTTAAGGTCAAATGAACTCATTACCTTCTAACGAACTCATTGTTTTTTAAAGTTTAAATACCAGCTTGTGTGCTCTAAAAGCTCATACATCATCGACAATGTCTAAAGGACATTCAAGCACTTTGCACATTGCAGAAAAGTCTGATGTAAAGGAAATGACCTGGCAAAAGGGTGTGGCATTCAGCTAGTTGCACGTTATGAAGAGCAGATTCCTTTATGGGAAAATCGAGGCTTGAGTTGATGAACAAGAATTGCTACCAAAGTGAACAGTTCGAAAAGTGATACCCTAGGACATCAGTTCCAGTGACATTGATTGTTTTCATTGTTCACCACTCTCTCGCTGATGTGTTTTGCAAGCTTACAGCTTATGCTACATAATCTCGTTCGATGGCTGTATTGCAGTACTTATTTGAAATAACTGTTATTCTGAAGCTTTTTGAGACTTGGGGCTTTAAGCAAATAATTTTTCACTTCCCAGATACGTGAAATTTTATGAGGAACCATTCTGGTGCTCTTTTCAGTACTACACCATGAAAGATGGTGTAGCATGATTGTGTGTGCCGTATGCAGTTAGAGATGTCTGTGAGGCACTACTGCCTTTATGTCGCTTCTGAAGCTATCTCGAATAATCCACTCAGTCCAGGTCAGTTCTCAATTGGACTTGAGTGCAAATGTCACACTGACATAAGAATGCTTCTCTTGCAGTGTTGTGCTCGTCCTTGGAGACATTGGTGTGTCGTCCATGTCTGTCACCTGCCATTCCACTATTCAGTGCTTACTGCTGACATGTTTCTAAACTATTCCTCATGTCTATACAAATATTTCGACATATATGAAAATGAGAGTTTGTGGTCAAGAAATGCAATATAATACACGCAAGCCGTATCATGAAAAAAGAAAATGATAAAAGTGAGAGTGGAGCTGCATATTGCCAATAATAACTCACTTACTGTTTTCGTGATGATAGGGCATGTGTACGTAGTGGTGTGTCAGTACATCATGCATGTTTCCAGCACTTAGATAAATGTCATTTTCTTTGACAGGACTATATTGTGCTGCTACCGGAAGCCTTCTATGAAGCCACCCTGCTTCAGGAGAAGGTCAAGCAGCCCTGCCTCCAGGGGCAGGCACCTGAAGTGGCATGTGTCCAGCTGCGCTATCCAGCACTGCCTGATGGAGCAGTGCCCGTCTCAGCGGCTCAGGCTGGCTATGTCGAGGACAATGGGCAGCAGAACCCCGTCAGGCTTCTGGATGACCAGTACATCTTGGATGTGAGTTTGTGAACCCTGCTTTGACTGCTCTCTGCATACTCTAGTTCCCTGTGCCATGTATTAGCCATCTGAACCTCATTCGAGAGGAATCATCTTCAGTGTGTGCCTTTTGTCAAGAGTACTTGGGACAACTATTTGTTCGACGGGTAGAAGTAGACAAACAGAGGAAGTTCCTGAGCAAGAGCGCTTCTTTTGCTTTAATTGTCAGAAAGTGCTAGGTTGGCAGCACAAACGCTCTAACATGAGCATGCAGAATTCTTGATCTTAAGAGGAGGTGTCACTGTAGCCAATGTTTTAACGAGTACACCTGTTGTGAATGCAGCAATGTCTGCTTTATTTGTACTAACATAGACACGTGATTTAAGCAGGCTCTTATGATAGAATGACACTGATAATAGCAGTTTCATAATGAAGAGAAAGAAGACAACCACCTGTTTGTGGCACGAAGCCACAAGGAAAATCCATACGTCAGGCTATATTTCTTTTTTTTAACCTTTCCGCCACATTGCGGGTTTCAGCAGAGCTCATTTGTAATACTTGCATCGATGTGCTTTGAGTTGTCGATGAATTCGCCCTCGCGCTGTCAATTGCTAGCTTCCTGGTTAGCTAAATTGGCAGAGTGACCACGCCAGAAAAGGCCTTGGTCCCAGGTTCGAACTCTGTACCAGGACGAATTTTTTGGCAACTAAAGAAGCTTTTCTTTCCGAGAAATCTGTATGGATTTCTTTGTGGCTTCGTGCTACAAACGTGTGGTTGTCTTCTTTCCCTTTCTTAACTCCTTACACCACCTTACGAATTTCCACAGAACTCATTTGCAATACCAGTCTCATAATACATATGTGGGTGAATTGTTGCATGCTTTAGCCTGTCAAGCTAAACTAGAACAAATTTTGTGGGGCTGGATCAACAAAATTTTAGCATTTAAAAATTTAGAACATGACAACCTTATGCAACAAAGTGAAGATTAAGAAATTAAATTTGGTGGAAAGTAAAGCTAGCTTACTTCTCACAGGAACTTCGAAGCGGCCCGATGGCCCATTTGACCGAAGATGAACATGCCATGACCCTGGAACTGAGGGCCCCTTCGCCAGGGCGATACGTGTTTTTGCTCTTCTACCACTCGCTTGACAGTAATGATTCCCGGCCAGCGGACGTAAGCCTCTCATCCTCTGATGCATTGGCTACGGGAAAAGTCAACCTGCATCGGTGCAAGTACAACATGGTCTGTCGACAGGTATGCAAATTTAAGCTTCTTCATCAGCAAGGACTCATAGATTCCTTCCCAGTGCAGTGATAAGCACTGCCATTTCACCCTGACCACTCTGTATGCAGAGAAGGGGATCAACGACATACTGTAGTTCATTGTATTGATATTGATGTCGTAAGGCTCATGTGCGGCTAATGAATTTTTCTTGAGTTCAATTCCTTTCGTGCACTTAAGAGCTTTCAAATTTTTGTTCATGAGATGCTAACAATGCTCTGTCACTTGCTTCAGTACCAAGAAATCAATTATTGGTAGCAGACATTAATGTACAACCAAAGTCGCATGTAGTAGGTTTGTGCGAATAGTGAATTTCAGGCCCAAAGGGAATTCGAAGCGAACAGTAATTTTGGAGGAATAATTTCGAATCGAATTCAGATAGTATATATGACATACAAAGAAAAATTGGCATATTTATCATGACCTAACTAACCTGCACACTATTCTTTTATTTTGAAGTAAGTCCTCTATGCAAATACCCTTTTGTTTTTGTTTAAGGAAGTCGAAACAACTCTGAGTAGTAGCAGGATTTGACTTTTGAGTGGATGCGAGTCAAAACCTGTAGAATAGGTAACATTTTAAATTTTATTATACTTAGAGCATATAAGCCATCACAAGCTTCTAAACTTGATAAAATGATAATTTGCTTTGATTGCATGATGTTCATTTAAAGGGGCCCTGAAACACTTTCAAGTAGCCATGGAATAGATTCATTAAAGAAGCCTATTGCCTCAGGAATTCACTACCACAAAATTTTTAGAATCCGTCCAGTGCAAGCAGAGTTGCAAAGATTTGTTGCACACTGCAATTCTCTTCTCGTCCTGACAAAAGCCCTGGAAGCCAAGCAGGGAGAGATGGCACAGCGAAAGAAAATACGTCACACGCACCTCGTGACCTTGAGCACCTTTTTCTTTTTTCTTCGAATATGTGGCTTTTCAGTGTGATCACGCGCGTACACGTGGACAAGTCGCGGCCTCTCGCGGCGGCCCCAGTGACGACCGAGCGCACTATGTTCAAGTCAGCCAATGGCTGATGCAATAACAGTGACGAGTGATTTCTGAGCTTGTAGTGTCATTTGCCAAGAGGAAAGAGCAATTTTCAGCTGGCTATGAGAATTTATTGTGAATTGCAGGATGGCGTGCTGCGCTTAATATTAGGCTCGTGTGTTCTCGGTAGCCTCGACTGCCGATCGGAAGCGTTTTCTGACCATGCTCCAGAAGTGTTGCAGGGACCTTTTAAATTTGAAGGGGGGCTTCGCGACAAGGTGAATTTCTCCAAGATGGGCGCTTTCACGGTTTAGCATGTCGACACTGCAGGTAAACTATCTTTACAGGTCATTACATGCGATTATTATACATCTATTTGTTCATTGGCAATGCTTCGAATTTTTCAATAATTTAAATTCGAACCGAAGCGAATTTGAATACTCTAATATTCCTTCGAATATTCGAAGCATTCAAGTATTCGGACAAGCCTAGCTTTCTAGTCGTACTATTTATAAAACTCTTCGTAACACTTATTATTTTTGGTAGCCTAAACGACACTAGGGGGAAAGAAAGCAGATGGTGTAATGTTACATCACCTGTAGATGATAAAGCTTGTTGTAAATAAATGCCATGCTCCCATGCACCATGGCAATGAAAAAGACATAAGTAGGCCTTATAATTTCATTGTACATAAATGAACTGAACATTATTTCCAGTCTTTTTAACTTGCATATTCACTTCAGGCATTTTATTTTCATTCAGCCATTAGCCATCAAGCTTCAGTTTTATGTTGTCACTAACTTATAGTGCATCAGTTGAATCATGTATTGTCTTTTTTTCTCAATAAGTTTGTATCTAGCTCTAAAACGAAATTTTTTGTACCGGCATGACAGAAAAGCTGTTGTGTACAGTACATGTGCTTGAATAGAAAATACTCTAATAGCCATTACTGACTCTAAAATAGTTAACTTGTACGTCACTCCTTGGTGATAGCTGCAGTTTGTTGGGCATGAGAGTGAAAAGTAATGCATAATGAAGGGTAACTTGTTTGCTAGTTGGTTGAATGTATTGTAGGGAAAACAGCATGTTCAACGATCTCCCCTTACGACATGTAGCACTTACTGGCTACATCAGTTGCCAGTCAGTGGTACGTGTGTGGTTTTATGTGTGTTTTTACCGTCCCGGTCTTCACGGCTGTTTATCCTGTGGTAATGCGTAGGGGCACCTACCCGAGTGCGCTGAATTAGCACCGTTCATATCCAGGTTGTTGTTGACCACCTGAATCGTGTGCTGGAGTTCGGGCTGAAGGATGATCCAGTGCGTATGACCATCGACCTTGGTGACGACTCCAACAGTGAGCTGGCGGTGGAGAGAATAGTGGCTGTGCCAGCACTGCAGTGGCACACGGACTACTTGCTTCCTGGAAGGGAGTGTGTCTTGCGTGAGGGAGAGTGCCAGGGACTGCCATTTCCCGCCTTCTCTCCTGCTGCAAAGGTGTGCCTCCCCTCTAACCGTTTTTGTCAACAACAGCTGTCTTTAGTTATTCTTCAGGCTCTTCAAGCCAACATTGTACGAATACATGAAAAGACGCCCTTGTGTTTACCACATGTCTTAAATAGCCTGATCCTGTGCCATAAACAGGGCTTGTTTGTACGATTCTTAACAGTCTAAATGGAAGGCGTGCCTAGAAGCACAGATTAGCACTTGCAGTTAGGCCAGGTGGGCTAGCCCAGTTGGTATTCGGTCACTCTGTTGCAAATAGAGTGATAAATATAAAGTTGCCTTTACATGGTCATCACTTCATATAGTCAACCAAGTCGTTATCCCAAGAAGTGTATGTGCTTGCTTAAGTCATGCAACTGTTGAAGGCAGGTGCGGTGGTTCAAGATGAAAATGACGTGCTGGATTTTAGAAGCACTTATTGTCACCAAATTATTACAATCTCATGATATTTAACTTGACATTAAAATATACCTATCGTTTAGCAACATTCAATTTTATCTCACATAGATGTGGTAGTATTTTGCGCATGTCATCAGTGTGGTCATCATCTTCACGAGATCGAATGTGTTTGTTATGTATGCTTTTATTATAATTGTTATGTGTCACAGTTACCACGCAAATTACTTTATGATGGTGGAGTGTGTTTTCATCTGGTTAATTTTTACTTCTCAGATTGCTAGAGTTGCTTTTGAGTATGAAAAGTAAAAAGTACACAGTGAGATGGTCTCACAGAGAAGAAAATCAATCTTACTGAAACACAAACAATTGCTTGGCCCTTTTGCTAGTAAAATGGGGGAAAAAGTTAAAAATCTTTTGGTTTTCTCTAGGATGAGAGTATCTGTGAGTCTTATTCAGTGACAGCAGTGCACAGTGCATGACTTTCGTACATCTCTCATGTTTTTCTTATGCGGTCATCTTGCTTTTGTCTGCAGGTCGAATTTGAGAGTGCAGAGGATGCCATGGTGGCAACTGATCTTCCAACCACCCTCAAGGACAATGGAACTAGCCTGGTTCTCCTTGACCACCGTAATCCAGCTGTCACTCTTAATGACACCGTGCCAGAACCGGGCCCATACGTCCTTGTCGCACATTACTTCCAGGCAAGTGCACTTTTTCTACAACTCTTTCATGGTACATTCGACTGGGTGCCACCACGCTCTGACACGTATTGCAATGATGCGGTGCCCACTCTTCATTTGAGCCAGAGAACTTATGACCGTGCCAAACCTGAAGCCACTCGCCAAAGCAATCAGAAAAGGAAGCATGTTACTGCATCGTTTGTTGCCAACAGATGAGGTGGGGAAGTCATGTGATCAAATATTGGTTGCGATCCGTGGCTAAAGTGAAAGCACTTCAGAGTGTTTTGAGTTAACTCTGAAAAAACCAGCCAAATGTTGTCGGAGCGCTCGATTTTGACCAGAATAATGTGACGCTCATTGCCAGAGCATTGTTGACTTTCAGAAACAAGCTGTTTAATCTTGCATGGTATTTATCAAGGAGAAGATACATGCTAAGTGAAAGAAATGGTTGAAAATAAATACGTTTTACTGTTGTAGGTGAATGAAGTTTGTATTCTGTGCAGTTTATTAGACCTGACTTTTTTGCGAGCTGGATTCGCATATCTGTTGAGCTCTGTCATAATGTTGCCTGTGACTCGCAGAACTTTTGTTACATGTTGAGCCGTCTGACTTGGATGAGAGTACTTTTTACAACCAGTGGCATGTGTTGCTCTGCATGGTGCAGGGTTCAACATGAGTTGAATTGTGCAGGACTGGTGCAGTTTCTCTATTTAAGCATTGACATTATGTGTGTGGTTGCTTTAACATGAAACATGCCTTGTGCAGCCTGACCACCCTGCCTTTGAGTTGACGACCGTCCTGGAGAGCGGGGGTCAGCAGCGTGACACCAGGCTGCCCCTTGAGCACTGCCCCTGGACTTCAGGCTGTCGGGCAGTGCTTATGAACCCCCAGACAGGCACCACTGCCTTCCCCCTCATCGACAACTTCACGCTCAACTTCGAGGTGCCCGACCAGAAGTCGGTTTGGCTGGTGGGTGCACATCACTGTTCTTGACTCACTCTCCCTGTAAATTATTTCGTATAACAAAATGATGTTACAAAATACAAACTGACAACTAAAGCTCACCATAATACCAATTTCTGTAATCATAGAGTTTCCTAAAATTAACTAGAGGGGAGTCACTCTGACGCTGCGATTGTCTGGCGACCATGGGAATGATGGGTAGCACTACACGGATTTGCCTAGTGCTTGTACTTGCGGGCCTCGAACGCATTTATTGCTTCGTTTATTGTTTTGTTTCAGTATTGTATCTAGTGAAAGAATGGACAGTTATAAACATTGCGAGCTGATTTGAAACGGTGAGCTTAAAAGGTTAAGAGGTCAACAAAACATTGTCATTGCACCTTCAATGCCCCTTTTACACATAATGCAGGTTGCATAATCATCTCAGCTTCACGAGCATGTTTGGTAACACAAACATGTCTAACACATCAGCACCACCACAAGCCATCCGCATAAGGAATGATCTTCCCGGCAATATCACCTTTGATAGTCACCGTAACACGTTTCGGTAAAAACTTGAGAAGCATTTTCTTAATGTATAGCTTCGTGAGATTGTTGTGCTTGTTTAACTTTCGAGCTATTTTATATTGTGAAGCTTTGGCCTTTATTTTCGTCAACGAGCCGTAATCTTTGGTTTTACGTTCTGCTGACTTATTGAGTTGCTGTTTTGTTGCACCACATTGTGTTGCTGTTATTATTAACCTGCACTGTATAGTTGTTCATTATAAGTTTACCTCCACATTCTCTGTAACCCCCTTACTCATTGCCATCGGGTTTGTAGGGTATTTTTTAATTAATAAGAAAATTTATGAAGTGGGGGGGGAGGCAACTGCTGAACATTTGCTGATTGTCGTTTCATGATAAAGCAACTTAAAGCCACACGAAGAAAACCGGAGCCGAAAGTATGAAAATGAGACAAATCCATGTACTACCAATCATTCCCATGCTTGCTGAAGCCCTGTCTATTGCAGCTCCCGTAGACACTAGCACCAGAGTTCTCTCTAGTGTATTTATAGGCAACTCCATGGCTGTAATATCTGATTGCCATGGTAGTTTAGAAAACACCAGCAGTCCTTATTGAAGACCCAGGACACTGAAGTGAAACAGTAAAGCCTGTTTAGTCTGATAGAATATTATTTCATAACTCTGTTGTCATCTAATTTTCCTCATCGCATGCTCACTATTAAAAGAGAAGAACAGATATCATTGTTTCATATTTGAATTTACACTAAAAGCTCAGCACCTGAATGACAATGTAATATCACAGATGTAAAGGTCTCATCTTGCAACATTAGCCAAATTTTACAATTTTTTTCAGAAACTTGTCATGTAATGTCTCTACCTGCCTTAGAAGATGGTTTGATATATGCTATAATAAATAAAGAATTACGTGGGCCCTATTAGATCGCATCAAAATCTCTGATGACACATAGGGTTGTTGCTAGAATCTTGAGGCAATTATGTCTTCTGTATATTCTTTTTGTGCATTTTCTGGCATGTCCAGCATTTTCTTATTGCAAAGGTGTGGCTTTGGCTATTATGAATTTAATGGTATGAGAAAAATAACTTTTCTCTTTGGTGTTTGTGATCAGGAAATAGAGTGATGTAAGGATGCACAAGAATAGAATCGCCTGCATCAGGCCAAGTGTCATATTCACTTGTTCTGAGAACATTTCATTTGGGCCAAAATAATTAAGCAAATAATTCTGACTAGAAGGTGTAGTTTTTTGCTTTAGTTTGTCATTTAATGACTGCTGTCACAATGAACAGGTTGTAGGGCCTGATTGAGAACCACACGTTTTGAGGAATTTGGGTGGGGGCTCATTTTCCAGTTATTCAGTTGAGGCAAAAGAGCGAGCTCTTGCAGTCATGAAAATGACATCTCATGCTAATTCAACACATTTATTTTCTCTCTAACTTCCTGGCCTTTAGCATGCACTACACAAATGTTACTTTATTAGAAAATTATTAATCATGCTTTTTCGCAACATTCTCTATAACTTTGTGTTCAACACTTTGATTATTTGGGTATGACATTTAGATCGTTTGGAGAATAATTTTACTTAAGTGCAGTAAAATACTTTTCAGAACTATAGAAGGCTATTTCAAGCAGCGTTCAGTTGATTTAATTTATTGTAAAGTCTCTAATTACTTTAATTACTATTAATTACCAGCTCGTCCTGCCCAAACTGTCACTAAACTGCTCTGGACGAGTAGAACTCATCCTAGCAAAATAGGTACTTTTCTCTAGCGTTCAGGCGGAGAAGCGCGCATTTAGGCTTGCATTACGTGTCATTCACAAGATGGCAGCATCTTCTCGAGGATTTATTTTTCTTCTGCAGCAGGAGCGTGGTTTCTGTAGGGAAAGACAGCGTGTAGTGGCTGGCTCGTGAACACGAAAAAAAATGCTATTCGTTTTCGTGATATTCTCAGAGTGATGACGATCCGAGTAAAGATATATATCATGTGCCCAGAAGTGAAGACAGCGATGATATTGAATTGAGTAGCTGCTTCGGTGATGATGAAGACAGTGCGGTCGCGAACATTGTGAGTGTCCGTCAGTGAAGCCACCTTGCGTTATTCTTCGTTTCGAAATTTTCAAAAGCTTCCCGAGGGAAATACCCCAAGGGTGCTTAGCCTACAAAAATGAAGAAAGATGTGGCATCTGTTACTGTTTGGTTTATAGGGTTTTTAAATCTTATTAGCAGCATGTAGCTGGTTTCCTATGTATTGTTCAGAAACAAACTTTATTTCATTGATTTGACTAAGTATGTGGAGAAAATATTTTTTCAACATTGACGAGCTACTTTTAGTCTAATCACAAGTTTGAAATCAGCAATTAAAAAAATAGACACATTTTGAGCCAGAAATTTTCCAAAAAATAAAGAAGAGCAGTTAAGGGGTTAATGACATTCAGCGGTAGAGCTAGTCTGAACCAATGTGCTTCATTTGGTATGCAGGACCATTTAATGCTTATTCGTGAAGACCAGTTTGACAAGTCAATGCTTCAGCCCCTTCCCCTGGACAAGGCTGTGGAATTTATCAAGCAGTGTGGCCAGAACAGCCTTCACATTAGCACCTGAGACCAGTGGTATGTTTTACTTGAAGTTCCTGATTTTTATTTTCAGTTAGCAATTGCATGAAGAGTGTGTAGAAAGCATGTAGTCTTGTGACGTGGGAGTTGTCTGTTGCAATAGTAAGACAGTGCAATAGTAGGGACTCGCAATATTTTAATTTGCTCGCAATGCAAAGAAAAAAGCAAGATGAAGGTAAGAAACACCACTGTGTGAGAAAGCATTAATGTACCTTGGAGGACAAGTGGAGGGTTGAAACACCTTCTGCCTCGATCGTCTAAATCGAGCTGTATATTACGGCACCACAGGGGCCCTGCAATATGCCTGAGGAATTCTAAAGGGCATAAGGTGACTTCACATTGTAAGCTTTATTGCTAAATATAGATCATTGCATTCAAGAACCGGAATTAACTCTTTGTTTAAAAAAAAGTAAGGGTCAATCAATCAATCAATCAATCAAACTTTATTTCAGGAATGCATACATTACATGAATAAAATTCTACAGTACAGAGGAGGTCCCGAAGTTAGAAAACTGTCGGGGGGACCTCCGTTAGAGAATAAGTAAATTGCGATAACAATGCAGCAAGCAGTGAAAAACACTTTGTACGAATTAAACAAAGAATGGTTAAAATTTTATAATAACAAGGCAAGAAAAGTTCTGTGCAACAGAAAGTGGTATAGTGAGTAAAAGAAATACTAAAATTAGGAGTAAGGCACGACGGCAGAGTTTAGAAAACACGTTTTGTGATTAGGTACTCTTTAAACATTTTGCGAAACGAATAGAATGTGGGACATAACTTTATTTCAAGTGGTATGTTGTTCCATACGGATACACCTGTAATTTAAGAGTTAGTTTTCCATAATTGCTACGCACTTTAGGGAGAAGGAAATTGTGACAGGCTGAAAACCTGGTGTTATTAGTATTGACAAGATGTTGTGTGGATAGCCCTGAAACACATAGACCATGATAAATGAGGCGGTACATCAATATAGCTAACTTTAGAGTGAACAAAAGATTAATTGGAAGCACGGAAAAATAAATAAAGAGTGGCGTAGAAGGCGATTGAAATGGAGCGAAGGCGATCAGACGTAGTGCCCGTTTCTGAAGATGTAGAAGGGGCTCCAGGTGACTGGCATATGTATTACCCCAGGATGAAATGCAATAGGAAAGATGGCTATGAATATATGCATAGTATAATGATAAAATAATGCGTGACTGAAAATAAGGGCGGGCTTTAATGAGAACATGAATGCCAAAAGAAGCTTTTTTTAATATTGAGAGTACATGATAGTTATATTTCAAATGCTTGTCTAGTATTACGCCTAAGAACTTCACATGATCCGATACGGAAATAATATGGTTGTTAAGAGATACGGAAACTGGTGAGGGAAATGTGTTCTGTGTGGATGAAAACACCACAAATGTAGTTTTAGAGGGATTCATATAAAGATGATTGTTAACACACCATTGATAAATATTACAGAGATCGGAGTTTAAGCTACTTTCAAGTTCAGCAGTTGTTTTCTGCGATGTAAAAATAGTAGTGTCATCGGCGTAAAGAAGACAGTTAGTATGATTAAGGGAACTAGGTAGGTCGTTAATAAAAAGTAGGAATAGAAGAGGGCCTAAGATTGAACCTTGAGGGACGCCCATGGTAACTGGCTTAGCAGATGACGCAATGTTATTGACATAAACTACCTGTGAGCGATTTGTTAAGTAATTGCGAATGAACTGCAAAGCGGGACCCACAATTCCGAAAGATTCAAGTTTACACAGAAGGATCCGGTGGTTAATTGTGTCGAAAGCCTTCGTGAGATCAACAAAAACTGCCCCAGTAAGTAATCCATTGTCTATGGCTTGTTTAATTCGGTCAGTAAAGCTGAGCAAGGCGAGCTCTGTCGAGTAGTCAGGTCGAAAACCAAATTGGTAGGGAGAGAGTAGGTTAAATTTAAGCAGATAGCACATCAAACGCAAGTAAAAAAGCTTTTCAATTACTTTGCTAAAGAAAGGAAGTACACAAATCGGACGGTAATTATTAGTTGACAAACGATCGCCCTTTTTGAAAACAGGTGTTATCTTTCCTACCTTTAAAGCATCAGGAAATGCACCTGCTTTGAACAATTTGTTAATTATTTCAGCTAAAATAGGAGACAGTTCACGTGCCACAAGCTTTATCTTAGACGGGTGAATGGAATCTAAGCCTGGCCCTTTGGTTTTAAGAGATGACATGATTTGAAAGACTTCGTCTGCAGATGTAGGACGTAAATAAAAAGACTGAGGTGAACGAGATAGAATGGGAAAATGAAGGTCAACTAGTGAATCGGGGGAATTTGATGCAAAAGTATCACTGAAAGCATTAGCGATATCGAGTGGCTCGGTAAGGGAACGTCCGTCAACCGTTATTTTTGATAAGCATGTGGTCTCGCTGCTGTTCAAGAATTTTTTTATTAGCTGCCAGCTTTTCCTGGTATCATTACCGTTCTTATCTATTGTTTTTCATAATACTCGCGTTTGGCCCTCTTGAGCAGCATTGAAAGTAGATTTGAATATCTTTTAAGCGCGTTTTTAGAGAGCTGTTTGAAGGCTGAGATTTTAATTTTCTTCGCATGTTTTCCTTTTTAGATATGGAATGCAAGAGACCAGGTGTTATCCATGGGTTTCTAGGCGTGCGAAACCAATGTATGACGGTACTTGTGGTTGTGCATTCTGCAATGAATGCGCTTATTTTTGCCGAAAATTCATTAAACGCTTCCTCGCCACATTCTTCTTGTGCTACAAAGTCCCAGTTAGCATTACGCACTATCTCAACAAATTCCGCTGAGTTGAATACTGTCTTGGTATTATGCTTATTTTTTATGGGAATACAGGCATCAAGACAGAAAAATACAGGATAGTGGTCGGTGAATAAATAGTCAATAACCCCGGACTTCGAATCAGCAAAGATATTTGACAGTACATGGTCGATTAATGTGTTAGACCCATTCATATCACATCTAGTCGGGGAGTGAATCAGAGATTGTAGGCCAAAACTAAGAAAACAGCGAACATATTCCAAGCAAACTGGAGTGTTAGTATCAAGGATATTTATGTTTACGTCACCGCAAATAATAATGTTTTTGTTTTCCAGTGTTAGAGTAGCAAGGATTCTTTCAAGCTGCACGCAAAACTCGGAATTCGAGGATGAGGGAGAACGGTAGATGGATGCAATGACTGTATGACGATTGTTCAATGGCAGAGCAGAAGATTCTACTTCAAGCCAAACAGACTCACAATTAATGTCAAAAAACAGATCCTGACGGCGTTTGTATGGTATTGATGAAGTTATTAGGACTGCAGATCCGCCACCACGATTTGTGACACGGTGACAATATTCGGATTCATAGCCTGGCAAAGCATACAGATGCCCTTCGTCTGCCGACAGCCACGTTTCTGATAGGCAAATTACGGAAAATGAGTGTTCGACAATGGAAAGGAAGGCTACAAGGTCGTCATAATGCCCTCGAAGGCTACGAGTGTTAAAATGCACGAGCGAGAATGCGGGTGTTTGCTCAAGAAGATGTTTTGCTTCATCGCTACATATGTAGCACGATCACGTGTAGGCAATGTCTAGTTGCATACTTTTCAGTTGCAAATGTTGCACCCCTTGCACTCGAGTAACAAACGACACACAGTGGTACAGACATACAAAAAGGCATTCATTTGCATCTTTCATACAGTAAAGCCTGTTAGAAAGTACAACTGCATATTGTACAACCAATAGCATGTCTATGTAACACTGAGAAATCTAGAATGCTCAACTCAGCGTGCCATGATAACGAGTGAGCAATGCTTACACCTGCCAAAAACTCAAGCCTGAGCCATTGGTGGGTCACGTCTCATGAATGAATGTGTATCCGAAGGTATGGGAGGGCGTCTATGAAACTGTTTTAGCGAGGCAGAGCTCCTCGCTAATTTCATGAAAGTCGATCATGTGCATCTCAAAGAGAAGGAAACCTATGGCGCTGGCATAGCCTTGCCATCAGGTGGCACTACTGCTGGAACACTGGCGTCATTTACACTGACCTCAGTTAAGTGCCGTCTAAACAAATCAAATTTCCGTAGATGTTAGCGCTGTGTGGTGAAAATAATATATAGCGGGATGCCATCATCTCCACAATGTGTTTATAGTTGTAAGGTCACGTGGCATACAAACTTTTTTTATTTATTAAGATATAAAATATCTGTGACTGCTGTGCACCAATGAGCACAAACGTTAGGGAAGTGCTTTGATTTGGGAAAGTTAGTGTGACATATTGTCACGGGGTCATGACGTGGCCGAAGACAGGAGACTTCGTGTTGAGATTTAACTGTTTATTTGGGCGAACCTGTGCCCGGTAAACGGAAAGTCCAATTACAGCAGTAGTCTTGCACAGATAGCAGTCTCGGACTGATAGCGGCGAACGGAGCGTCGGCCTTCGATCAACAACTGACAAGCGGCGAAGCGCGTCGGCATTTATACTCTTGCTGTCGAATGTTCTAGCATTATCGCTGGCGGTGGCGTAGGTTCCAGAACAATCTGTACCGTTCGCACAGTGGGCGTGACCTTATCGAAATGATCTACTACAGTCCGGAACCTTCTCGAAAACTGCAGGCGCGGTTTGCGCTGAGAATCGTGTGGTGTTTTGGGACGATAACAAAAACTTGGGAAATGGAACGTAGCATTGCCCCCCTCTGAAAAAAGGCATCGTCCCGATGCTTTAACTAAAGATGAAGGTACAATAATAATGCAAGAAAGTACAATGAATAAATTACGACACAACAATAATACAAAAAAAAAACACTGTTTCAGTTTGTTAACGTGCATGAAACAGCTTGAGGCGCGCGACATGTACGACTTCAGGTCGCGATCGGCGTCGTTGAGAGTTCGTGATGCCGTCGGGGACAACCTCGTGATCAAGTGGGCCGAGACGTCGAACCACCTTGTACGGTCCGAAGTACCGTCGCAGAAGCTTTTCACTTAGTCCACGTCGGCGTATC